ATGGGAGAAGGAACGGCTGCTTATGCACAGGGAGACAGCTCAGGGGGCAGAAGAGTATGGAGGGATGGACACTGGGAAGAGGCAACTGTGGGGAGGAAGTGGGAGGGGAGCTATTGCATTGTGGTAAACTGTGGTCAATGATATGAGACAAAGTATATGTGAACTGCTGTATGGAAAGTGAATTTGCTCTGTAAATTTTCATCCAAATCACAATTTTAAAAAAATTAATTAAATAAATAAAAGACAAAAAAAAAACAATAAAAAAAATTGTTAAAGGGGAAATTAATTTGCTGTGTAATCTTTCAGCTAAACACAACAGATTATTTTTTTTTTTAAATCTCCACAAATGATTCTAACGTACAGCCTATATAAAAAAACCACTAAATAGAAGTCACAATGTTAGCAAAAACACAAGGATGTATGAAGTGGAAGCTGTCTATTTTTTTTTTTTTTTTTTAATGAATTGGGTGAAAGTTTGCAGCGCATACTGGTTTTCCATTCAACAGTTCATACACATTTTGTTTCAAGACATTGATTGCAATCCCCATAATGTAACAGCTCCCTTCCCACTTCCTTCCTGTGGTTACCTTTTCTCTATGTCCTTCTTTCCCATGCATTCCTGCCCTCTAAACTATCTCTCTGTGCAAATGCTGCCCGTATGATCTCCCATTGTTCTAAGGAGTGTACCTACCTGGTGTAATTGTTCACCTTGTAGGCCTGTCCATTGTCTGGCTGGAAGCCACAGAAGTGAGTTCGATTCCAGGCCCAAAGAGTGACTAGGGGCCATAGCCTTAGAGGTTTCACCAGTGTCTAACAGACCAGTAAGCCTGGTGAAAGCCACTCTTGGCCATTTGTATTACTTCTCCCAGTCCAACATCTCTTCTGGAACAGCTCTCCACTCTAATGTCTTTCACCTTGCCCCCCTAGGCTGTAATGAACTGAAGTGGTTAAAAATCAGACATTACAGTTACTGAGACCTAAGATGTGCTTTGGGAAGAGATGGCCACATACTACATGGCACTGTCTTGACACCACTCACTTCAAGAGGTATAAAGTGGACTATGCTACATGCTTCCTCTGTCTTCAACAGAGCTAAACATAAAACAGATTGTAATAAATACCTGTAAGATAGCAAAAAAGAGTTGTCCCACTAGCCCAACCCAAGTGTTTATTTTCTTAATATATACTGTATCATCTGCCCCAATCTCCTCTAGCCCAAATGTCTAGGAGAGAAATGACTATTTCAAAGATCAAGAGTAAGAAGACTTCTGGTGTTTTCTGTTAAAAAGGTCAGTGAGACCACAGCTATGGACATATCCAAAGTAAAATGAGATTACAAGGTTGTAGACAGGGAACCAGAGATAGCAATTGGCAAGTGAGGACAACTACAAAC